AAGACGTTACAGTTATGACTTTGGAATGTGAAAATTCTCGGCGATGTCGGCGAATCGGCGACTTTGCGTTTTTCGGCGATTTTGGCGAATTCGCCGAAAATTTTCACATTCCACTGTCATAACTGTATGGTATTGTCATAACTGTGGAAAAGCTTATAGATCACTTCAGCTTGAAGATTTGAATGAAAACATTCACAAGCCGTTTCTAATGTTCATCTGCTAGCAGCAGATGAGAAAATTACGGATTTACCAGCCAGATACAATCCCGCTCACATAATGTGCAAAATTTCCATAAATGTCGCAAAATTCCGAAAATTCCGCGAAATTCCCGGAATTCCGCGAAATTTCGGAAAGTTCGCGAAGTTTCGCAATATTCCAGGAATTTCGCGGAATTTTCGGAATTTCGCGATATTCACGGAAATTTTGCACATTTTGTGAGCGGTATTGTATAGTAATATCATAAGTAGGCGGGGCTTACAGTTCACAGCTATAAAGCGAAAAATCGATATTTTGGAGATTAGTGAACCAATAAGTCTTCAAAAATTGATAGAATCGGTATTCTGAGAGCTGTGAGATCCCGAAAATCGACAAAAATCGATAAAATCGATATTTTAAAGGTTGCAAAACCCCGAAAATCGACAAAATCGATATTCTGAAGGTTGTGAAATCTCGCAAATTGACAAAAATCGATAAAATCAATAATCTGAAGGTTTCGAAATCCCGAAAATTGACAAAAATCGATATCCCAAAAATCGGCGAAGTTGTTAAAATCGATATTTTGAAGCTTGCGAAATCCCGAAAATTGACAAAAATCGATATCGATATTCTGGAGGTTTCGAAATCTCGGAAATCGGTAAAGTTATCGAAAAACTAAGCGAAAAATTCGAAAAACTCCATAATAAGCTCATTTCCAGTGCTTTTATACAGCTGAAACTCCTCCAAGCAAGCTCCGTCCACTTTATACTCCACATCACGATCGAAATTGAAGAAAATAAGAAATAAGGAAAAACAAGCGAAAATCGCGTTTTTATAACCTGATTTACCCCCTTTCTAGGCCGTCTTCATCCCCCTAACCAGGTCCAGTGGCCGTATTCATCAACGAGCCCCGAGGGTTAAACTAACCCTGGAGGGTTAGTTTAACCCTGGAAAGCGTTTAACCCGTATTCATGAAACACAGGGTAGGCTTAACCCTGAGGGTTAAATCTAACCTTGAGGGTTAATTTTACCCCGAAAGCGACTAACCCGTATTCATCAACGAACCGTGAGGGTTAAACTAACCCTGGAGGGTTAAACTTACGTGATTCATCAGGGTTAATTTAACCCTAACTCAGAGCAAGGTTAACTCTACCCTAGCACTTCATACAAACATTTACTCGCATGTAGTTTTATAGAAAACGATTAACGAGTGTTGTAGTACTTAGTATTAGTTGTTATAGTATCTAGTTTCAACTTCGTTTCGTGTTCAAATTCGAAGTACATGAAACACTGACTTCGCGAGAAAAAGAAATCCTAGCTTGGTGACAAATGAATGCAACGAGGGAAAATGGTTGCGCATTCCACTCTGACAAGTGCCAAAACAGAAGAACCACTTTATGATAATACGCATTGACCCCTAAAAGAGTAGCACAAGCCCGGTATAAAACGAACTGCGCAAAAGCAGAACTTACACGGCACAATTGCACACATGAAAATAAACTCACGCTGTAAGATTGGATGCTGAACAAATATGCTAGAGATGTATTATAAAAACTAGTGTTAAAAGCTTATTCGTTGATTATACTACTATAACAGTGCAATAATAGAAGTATAAAGTAATTTTAGCGTACTTAGGCATTCTGTGATGTGAGTTCGCACAGCGCACGCATAACTGACGCCTTAACCCTCCAGGGTTAGTTTAACCCTCAGGGTTCATTAGCCGTATTCATCAACCATAGGGTTCGTTGATGATTACGGCCACAGGTTCGTTGATCGATACGGGTAGATCGCGTTCCGTGGTAAACCCTAGCCTATGGTTGATGAATACGGCCAATGAACCCTGAGGGTTAAACTAACCCTGGAGGGTAAGCTTAACCCTCAGGGTTCGTTGATGAATACGGCCACAGATGGCCGCGGGTAACTATCGCACGCGCTGCAGAAATAAAGAGAGGGGAAAAAATGAGGGGGGAGAAAAGTGAGAACTTGCGAGACCCTGAACTGAAAAAAAAACAAGTCCGGGAAGGTTCATAGACGGGCTCCCACAGGCGGAGCCCCTGCATTTTCTCCGAAATATATGTGGTGTCCCCCTCGAATTTAAACTGAAGAATGGCTATCGCAGCCTGTTACCCCTACTCTCCATGGAGATAAAATTCAAAATATGCATCATCGCCTTTATATAGCGCCTCCTACGGTGGAGCTACAGCCATGATCTACCCCTAGAAAAATAGAGCTAGCAAAAGTACATATTAATGATCACAAGTGATTACCCCAACCCTACCACTTGCAGAGATATAAGGGCGCAAACTCGCCTTTATTGATTTCCCAAGTTCAGCTGTCAATTAGGCACTTTTATTGGAAACTTGTTATCCAACGACCTTCTCTCTAAAAATCATGTTTTTAGAGATCTGTCCAATAAAACAAACTGCAGCCTCATATCTGTAATATTCGCAGAGTTATTAGTCCCCCAACATGCATGCTTAGGCCATAAAATCAGCTCTCACAAAGTTGCCCCGTAATTCCCCCAAATATCACGTTAGACACCTTTCTCATACCCATACATCCCATATTTTTTCCAGCTTCTTAGAAGCAATACACACTGATATAACGTGCTCGCTCCTCACTCTTGCCTCGGCACAAGATTTGGTTAAAATATTGAGGTTCTCGGATTGACCGGAAACTTCGCTCATAGTGGTTTTTGGTCCCGATCATTACAAAAATCCTATTTATTTTGCACTAGAGAGTCTTACAGTAAAGCTAAAGTGAGACAGAAGTGGCTCAACACATCAAAATCGCAAATTCGCCGGCACTTTTTGCCTATCTATTGCGAAAATTGTCTGCATATTTTTGTGATTTCAAAACTTTGTGAACACCTCTACCGGACCATGCTTAGCGCAGATCTTTATCTGCATTGTTCGTCAGATTATGGTGTTACAAAATCGCCTTCTCATGAATTGTCATTCAAATTCAAAGTCGTGTAATTTGGCAGATATTCTATTCTATAATGTGCCACCAGCAGCAAAACAATGTAAGAAATGTTGCTAGCACGTCGAGTAGTCCAAGTAAGCGGAAATTATCAAATTTGCTTCATACATGCATTCGAACAGTTATCACTTTGGAATGTGAAAATTCTCGGCGATGTCGGCGAATCGGCGACTTTGCGTTTTTCGGCGATTTTGGCGAATTCGCCGACATCGCCGAATTCGCCGAAAATTTTCACATTCCACTGTCATAACTGTACTTATGTTATCTCAAAGGCACTATATAAATTTTTTTCAGCTGAGAGTGAAAATTTGTACAAAAAAATTTCTTTTGTGATTCCTATACCAGTGAATATATTATTGACTAAAAAATAAAATCGATCGCCTTTGGCGGTTTGTAGAAATGTTACATACCAATTTTTGCCTGGGTTTATGATACCGTTGGAGAGAGCAAATCAAGGAGAATCGGCTAGGCAATTTCTTTTCTTCAAAAATGTTTTTATGATAACGAAATGGCGCAGGAAAGAAGGATGGTAAAAGTATTTTTACTTGAAAATGGTAAGATTTTTTTTCCTTAAATTTTCGAAAAATCACGCTCTCAACGAACTAGTCAAGTTTTAAATGTAGATTCGGTACACACACAGCAGGTTTTCATATCTGCAACCGATTACATGGCCATAGGTAGTCAAATTCTTGTATCTGAAATGCCCAAAACTCGACTTCCACGCGCGAATGCCTGAAAACTTTCACATTTTTGGCTACAAAAATTCATATACCAGGTCACAACCTTTATTGTAATTCGCATCTAGCCGAAGGGTCGTATGTATCCAAGCGTTAATTTACTGCCTTGTGCGCTTACTACAGGACGAGAACTAAACTTAGAAAGTCAAAAAAGCGATTTTTTAGAAATCTGGTCATATAAGGGCATCTGTCATTATTTGGTGACAGAAAATTCCTGATTACTTGATATTTAGAAGCAGAGGTTGAAGCTATCCTCTTACAAGAAAATCTCATCTGAAAAGCTACTACTTGAACTGTTATAGAGCTGTGAATTTGCATCTCAAAACGAAATTATTTATTGGACAACCTTCCTTTACACTTCTGTGCCCAATTATCGTCCTATTGGCATAGCGCCAGAATGGAAAGTGGAGAAGATTATTCACTACATTTATGCACTATAGATGTTACTCATGCTAATTTAAAACACTGCATGTATTCGTTTTAAACGAGATGAAAATAGTACAGGATAAAGTTTCGTTTGTAAGTTCTACAGTGAATATACCTTAACTTCTGTGCAAATTATCGTCTTATTGGCATAGCGTAGTTGGAAAAAGGAAAACAAAGCTATTTACTATATCCATTGAAGAAAAGAAAAAGTGCACTCAAGAATCCACATTTGAGTTAGCAGAAGCCCTGATAAACAAGTTTATCGAGCTCTCTTGCGCGACAAAACTTGGCCCCTGCGGCAGCCGTCGTTATGGCTGTCCTGCAAGACTTGATCGGAAGGGCTCGGGCAAATTGGCATCTGTTTCGGTCTATCACAATTCATATGAAAGGCGTCTGTTTCGATTTTGATGACGATCTCAGCGCCGGTAAACGACTGTCTGGGACCGGACCCGCTAAGTTTAAATAGAAATCTGATGGCATGATGGTAGAAGGTTGTACGCAACAACGGAACGAACATTGTTGATTGAATTTTGCTAAAATTTTGTCACTTCGTTGATTCCATCGAAACTCTATGAATTTGTGAAACGACTTAATAGGTTCCAGCTGAGGAAAACAGCATTTTTATCAAGTCATTTATTCTCTTTTTACTTTTTAATTTACCCGTACTCATCCCAGTTTTTACACAATGCAATTGATCTCTACCAGCTATAGTGATACACTCATAAACCAAAAAAAAAACAAGCAACGTATGGAATTACAAAAAATTTCTACGTGAGGCTAAAACATGAAAACATTGGAGCTTAGTCACAATGGCACATACGGCGAATGGAAGCTTTGTGGCAAGCACTCATTAGTACAAATTTGGCAGAGATCGTAATCGTATCGCATTTTATGAGCATATTGATGAGACATGCTCAAAAAGTCTAATTCTCCTTGAGTAAACAGATTTTCTTCAGAATTTTCTTGAAGGCGGCACGCATATCTTGCGAGAAGACAGTGTAGATAATCGGATTGAGCGCTGAATTCAGGTAACCTAAATAACCGCAATAAATCATATGAAAAAAGAAAATCCAATCTGAATGTTACCTAGCCAAGACGTAACCGTTTCCAAAAGCCGTGGTATGGTACAACCACAAATTGGACGATACAATGAGACAAGAAAGAATGGTGTCCAGCATGCGACAAAAGTACCTTAAAACAACTCAGTGTTAGCAAACCTCTACATAGCCGCGCCGCAGCCGCGTCGCAAGCCTACGGAAAGATGCTGCGATGCGACTATGCAGTTGTGAAGTAGCCTGAAATCTGATGTGATATTAGCCACTTACCCGTAATTATGGCCAATGTGCGCCATGCTTTTCGTTCACGTTTCGTTTCCGCATTCTCTTTTCTCCTTTTCTTCTTTATGATCACAGTTTTCACTGGATGTTTTTTCTTTCCATTTCCTAAATTTTTTCCTTATTTTCTAAAAAACCCAACTTTACACTTCTTACCTTTCTGCACCATGTCATCGAGTTTAGTCTCTTGCTCGGGTACGTTATGATTAGCATTTCCCTCTTCGGATTGTGTTGATGTTGATGAGTCTGCTGTTATTCCCTGAAATCAGGCTCATCAAATGGAATGACCTGATCGTGTGAAATAAGGGCTTTTACCTTTTTGTTCCTAAAATCTTCACTTTTTTCTACATTTGTCACCATTGTTGGTGGCGATGGGATTTGAAGTGCTTTTGATGACGGCTGAAAAGAACAACGCAATCTACATATAAGTGATTTTGCATAAGGGGATACTCTTAGCATTTTCTAAAACTAAAACCTATTCTCTTATTTGTAGAAAAAAATATATGATTTGGGTGGTAATAAGAAAAAGGCAGTGAATAATACATTGTGTGTAAAGGAGTTAAAACAGATTTGCTATTTTATTTTACAAATTCAAAGACAATTATAGATATCCCTACTTTTTGTGCCTAATTTTTCCCCCTTTTGGAAAGCTTTTTTTCTCGTTTCTAATCAAATCCTTTTTTCCAATTTTTACAAGACAGGATTTCATCGGAATTGTCATTCTAGAAAATCTCCACCAAATATGCCAACCTTTTTGTTCTTTTTCAGAATAAGTGGTGCAGATTTTTCGTTTTGCTGTTCTTCTGGTTGACGTATAATGGTACGTCGATCCCGTTCTCTTTTGAACCTGAAATATCGGCAATAAACATAATTTTCAGAATTTGAATTTCCACAAATTTTTCTACCTCTTCTTTGCGGCTCTCATAATTTTCCAGTATATACATATTATCGCTATCAATGGAATATAGAATGCTGTCGCGGTGGAAAACACCTGAAACTATTCACAATAATTGTGATATAGTTTTTTGAGTTGTTTTCTTTCTTTTCATTCATCAAATTATTTTTGAATTTTTTCCTAGTACTAAACAAATCCATCGAATACACTCCAGAAGCCCGTTTCAAATTTCTTTAGTTTTCGTTTCTATAAATTATACGAAGTGTTTTTATAGTAGTTTCGAAGAAGAGTTAGCCTTCTTTGTAGGGTCTAGCGCGATCGAATCAAGATTGGTTTCCTTTTCTGGATTAGAGTAATCTCTGGAGACAGTAACCCAATTATGACGCAATAAGTGTGTTTCGTAGCACAACGTAGACACATCTTCTGCTTATTTTCATCATGAAGATGGTCCGCTCAAGGGAAGAAGGAAAAAATTTAGCAATAACAGGATGCAATCATCAAAAAGTTCTATTCTCCTACATCCGAAAGCTGCGAACATTTGCGCAAAAAATTTGGTCTTGTACGGTTTCCAGTAAATTATGTTGCAAATGAAAAAATCCAAAAGAAATTTCAATGCTTAAAATATTTATTCTGCCTTCATGCTTTTCCCCGAGGATAATCACAATTATTTTTCTTCCCCTCCGTGGTGCCGACTGACAGAAAAAGCCTTCCAAAGGCACTCACTTAATTAAAAGTGCAACTTTTGCAATACTCACTGCTAGCTTTGCAAAACTTTGCACTTCATTGAAAAGTTCAATTACCCAATTATAGAAAGTGTGAGACTTTGCTCAGTTTCAAAAGTGCAAGATCTCGAAAAATCGTAGCAAAAATAACGAAATGAGATCTTCTCTCTTGACTAGTATTTCTAGCAGTGTGAGAAAAAGCCAAGTGCTCCCAAAAAAAAATTCCAAAAATTATAATATTCAACCCTTGCGTTTCCTTTAGCCCTCCCCCCCCCCCCTCCTCTATTCCTCAATTAAAATTCTTCAAAATTGTCTGTACTCAAAAGCAAACCCACAAACTTTACCTTATAGTATTTGATGTAAATTCCAAATTGGTAAACCCCACTGAAAGTTTTTCTAATTCAATTGAAAAGCATTAGTGAAATATTCTATCTACCTCTTTCTACTGAAAAAAATCTTGTCCAGAAACTTTTTTTTTTCAGAGAGAAAATGTGAAATACGCGACATTTTATAAGATTTTGAAATAATGAAAGTCATAAAGTGTAAGGAATATAGAAGATTTTGCTAGTGCTTTTCCTTTTTAGTGCTCTTCCCTGCTGCATACGTGCCATTCTGTCTTACACCCTTGCAAGCTCATCCATATTTGAAAAGACTAAGAAAAACTATAGAAAATGTGCCTTTCTCTTTTGCCGCGCTACCGTAATCCTCAACACACAGAAAAAAGGAACAATGCCCTGGTTCTGCAAATGTAAACCTGGCTTGCAGGATAAAAATTTGATAGGATTGCTCTAAGCTTGAGAATCACGAAGCATTTTTGGCTGAAAAGCTCTCCGCGTGAGCATTGAAGGGTAATCCAATTTTTCGTAAGTGGCGAAACAGACATCAGAGATTGCAATGCTGCTGTCGAGTGCATCAAATAAAAGTGCATGTAAAATACAAGACGAGAAATTGTTTCTAAAACAAATTGGAGGAATTTTCGTGCGCGACTGCAGTAAGCTACCGTAATCATAGTAAGTGCTGGGATAGGTGCAAGGTTATGCTTTTGGTCTTTGGTGGTTTGATTTTTTCTTCAAGGATTGCGTGGGTATCGTAGCATAGGCACAATCTTATAATTTTTTACACCGTAAAAAATTTTTTTCTGGGTATGCTGAAAGCAGCCAACTAAAGAGAAATATGATGGTGAGCCCAGCAAAAAACAACTCGATCAACGAGTGTCGGTTTTTACGGAATTTTCAATGACCAATAACCCGTCTCTTATCCTTTTTGATGCACAAATTGTTCCAAAATTTCGAATTTTCTCGTAAGAGATTCATCGCATGACCAATTTTTTTTCGATCTTCAAGATATATCCCCTAAAAGACAATGTGTTTCATGCTAACATGTCTATCGACAAAGCGCCGTAAAGTACACTTGGCTTTTCAGGTCATCGATAAATTCGCATCATTTTTGACTATCACTTTTTTCAGCCTCCGTCGTCCATTTAACAATGGGAATTTTGGAAAATTCAAATAGTTAAACTTCTCGAGACAAAATTAGACAACAACATTCCCAGAGAATATACGCTTGAAACGGCATTTGTCGTAATTGCAGCTTTCTTTCGCTTCAGAAACTTCTTGAAATTCATGCACGTTCCCTCTTCGTATGATTTTTGCATATTCTGGGAAAAACATGGTTTTGATTAGCTCCATTTGCTCGAATGGCAGAGAAAGTTCGTACCCGCTAAAAAAATTGCCGTGTCATTTCAAAATGGGAGATGTCTCCACAGGAAGAGATGATATCATGGGATAATAGAGTGAGTCGGGTAGCTAATGCAGAGGAGACAGTATTTGCTAGAAAATAACGACATTAACACATTCAAGAGGATATGACCCACCGGTGGGTCGTATATGTCCTGCCATCTGGGACAAGACGACCCACTGGTTTACGACGAAGCTTTTTGGGCAAACTGAATAAACTTCTTATACTCTGCGACACTTCCCATAGGATTAAACCACTTTAGACCATGGGACCCATCAGAGGCCAGAAAATATTACGCAAACTCAATATTGCAAAGTATGCTCTGGCCCGAAATGGTAAAGTCATCGAAAAATGTGTGCTGTCGTGAATGTGTTAAGCTATTTACGTATTTCCACTGGATTTTGCAATTTTTATCCTCAGTCTAGCTCGCTCCAACGGTGGAACTTTGGTCTGTTTAGCTTGACATTCTTGAAGGCAGCGTCCAGGCAAATCTGGACTATGGGGCTCTCATGTGGATAGTAATTTTGGGGCCCTAACTAAGCCACTGCCCAACCGACAGCTCAGGTAGCGCACTAAGGGCTGAGATATTTGCCTCGAAACTGGACCCCGGGATCGTATTTCGCATGGATTCCTGGCGCAACGCGTGGATCCTCGCGCGAAACTGCCAAGACCGCGAAACTATCTTCAAGGAGGAGCTGAAATGTCTCAAACAATGCCTTCTCACCTGATAGCTGATCCGTTGACTTATGAGACATACATGCTGTCGTAGTACACGATCCTTGAATCCTTCATCTTTCCAACCGGCAAATGGTGCTAAGCTAATCACTACGGACGTCATCCAGATTATCGCCAACATTATCACTATACGCTTCGGTGTTCTATTTTGTACGTAGCTAATATCGGTCACAGACCAATATCTGAAAGGAAAAGGATTATATATAGAAAAGATCAAAGCACAATAAATGTATATCAACGAAAAATTGTCGCAGTAGGGTTACGGTACTTATTACCTTGGGCACAAGCCATATTTGACCCACTTGATCCACTTTGATCACTTCGCTATTGTCAAATCAATGAAATGACCAATAGCGAAGTGAATGAAGTGGATCAAGCGGATCAAGTGGACATCGGCTTCGCTATTGGTCAGTTCACCGGTTTGACTAACAGTGAAGTTAATGAAGTCGATCAAGTGGATCAAGTTTGGCGCATGTTTTAGAGATATTGTACCTTTTACTGTGGGGGTACGGTACTTAGTGCAGTCTATGGATGTTATTGTGGGGATGATAGGGACCTTATTGTTGTGGGATGTTTATGTTATTGTAGTAGCACGGTACTTACTACTGTAAAGCTGCGGTGATAACGGGAAAATAACTAACTGATGCTTATTACTGTAGGGATACGGTACATGATTTATCAGTCGTAGGCTTCGAGAGTTTGTAATCTCCATCTATTGAGATTACCTAACATTTTTGCTATTTGCAAGTATATAACCATCTGTGTATGACTGACCGAATTATAAATTCTTGATGAGATAAACATTGTGCTAATTTTCTATAACTTCCAGTTTTATTCACTTTCAACGCAGCAAAGCCCCCTACCCCTCCCCTCTTCTCCCCCACCACTGGTTTGCTAAAAGTCGCAGCAAATAATTAGCGCGCGACTATGCTCCTGCACTGAAAGCCAAGCGTTACGCTCAAGCCTCCGCACTACGGATGAATGTTCGACAATGCGCTCTAGTTGCTGACAAGACCACTTCGCAAGAGACAACACATTTGAACTCCTGCGGAAATACCGGCAGGTCAAAGTGCTGCGATCCCACTAGCATTTTTCGAAATTTCCGCAGCATTCTGTGAAAAGCCCTGCGGAAGTTCCCATTTTCAGGTTTTCACTTGTGTGATAGTAAGCAAAATCCTGCGGAACTACTGCAAATCTAGCTTCTCTTGCGGAAGTTCCGGTAAATTTTCTGAGACTCCCTATTGCCTAATTTCCACTTGTGAAACCTGAAACCTTTCCACTTGTACAAAAATGCTTATGCCTCGACTCGCATGGATTACTTCCCACCCGAAGTTGTTGAAATTCCAAAATCTTCCGCATGAAAGCCTTTGAGTTAACTTCCAAAAAGGTGAAAAAAGATTTGTTCCTGTTCTGGCATTTCCCATCGAAGTTCCAGGCTGAGAACTACGGTATCCTTTGCAACATATCTGCGTAATGTAATTACCCTATCAGAAATTTTTGAACACGAGCAAAAAAGGCAAAAACCTTTATATATCTTTTATATATCACAAAAAGCAAATGCATATCAATAAGTGTGCTAAAATACTAGGACAAACACATTATTTGATTTATGTTCGTACTATTCCAGTACGATTTCTTTGGGTGAAATACGATCCACAAGTAAAATATTTATTTACAACTTGCACAATGACAAAGACATATATTTCTATAATATTGAGTTGCCTTACCTAGTGTGATTTACCATTTGCCAGGTTCCTCGCCTGTCAGGGACGAGGCAGCTTGCCCATCTTACCTGCCCCCCGTTTCCCTCGGCTCCCCTTAAGACCTATTGCTGTTCTCAAAACATAATGTTAAACATTTCCCGTCACTGTGGGAACGCACATCGACATCGTAATAAATCATGAATTGGGGATTCATGACAATTTGTGTCAGGATTACCGTAATCTTACGCCAATCAAGTTACCGTGACTAAGGTAACCTCTTAACTTTTTTATACTCCAAAATTAGATCGCTCCAAAATTATAAGTAATCTAGTAATTTCTTTTTCGGGAATTGATAGGCTAGAATATTCCATGCACAAACTCAAAAATTGTAGTGCTAATTTGGAGGAACGTTTGTACAAACTCAACAACATTCATTCATTAGTACTGTGACTACAAAAGGGTGCATCACAGAACATTTGGATACAAAATTTTCTTTTGTAGTGTCCTTTCAGTATGTCACTCAAATACTACAAAAATATGTATGTCGTTCTCAAATAATTATTCTTAAGTACCGTAGACGGATAATTTTGTATTTTTGAAGTCTCATGCATGTGATATATTCAGAATGCCCTCAAAAAGCTGAGTGTGGTCGTTTTGCATCGTTTGCATTAATGCTACGGTAATCGCAAATGGCTTTTGCATCACTGCATTTCACGTTTGGACAAGTTACGAAGAGTACTTGTCGCGAGGTCTATCTCACTATGGGTATAGGGCGTTTGCACACCGTGATGCTTTCCACCCAGGACCACCGCCGTGCGCGACACATCCGACGACTTTCGTCCAGGGAAGGAAATGATTATTTGTGTGTTTAACATGTTAAGACAAGTCAAGGTGGCGATAGAGACCGCTCGTGCGAAAAGACCGTCTCCCTCCCACTACATTACGCGTTAAGGATACTGTAGCGGTGCAAAAAAGCCGTTACTTCTTTATGCGGTAATCGATTCATTACAATGCAAAATAATTACGGAAATCATGAAAATATAAGAGCAAGAATTTACCTGTCTAAAGCAATAGCCACTAAATGCAGTATCGAAGCTGTGCATACGATCACATCGACAGAAATCCATATATCACATAACGTGATGCCAAACCGCCACTCTCCTGCTACTGTCGAATACGCGCCAAGTGGAGTAACTATCAGGCCGACCTGAAACAATTTTTATGAGATTCTTCAACGATAGAAGGTGCTTTTTTCATGGATGTCGAATGAATGAGAACGAATGCCGGGCTGGGGAATTGCTCAGACAATTCGCCGGAATTTCCGCAGGTGACAGGGCGGAACTTTCCCAAAAGCTCTGCAAAAGTTCCTCAACTGTCTGAGTGGCTAGTCATCATTTGTTATGCACTGGTGGCCCATAAAAGTAAGCATTCAGTTTCCCAATCCCTCGGGAAGGCTAACCATTGAATTCTGCCCAATTCAATTCATTGCGAGATGTTGTTTACTAGATCTCCAACGAGTTAGTGTTTTTTAATGGCCCCTTTCATCTATACGAATTTATCATGCAGTGATGATTTGGCCATAGCTTGTTTATGTGCAATCAAGGGGGGGGGGAATCAGGGTTTGAAAACAAATTCTTTGCTCTTTGCCTACTCTCCCTAATGCAAACTTCCTGCAGAGCGTAAACAGCGACCAATTGGCTTCATTTCATCACTATTAACGTCATCAAGGTTAAAAATTAGTTTAAGGTTCCATGCATCGGGCATGCGTAGGACGAATTGGGACCATCGGAGCTCCGGTTTGCGAAAAACTTCGCGAAAAAGTACAAAATTAAGGTCTCCGAGAATGGGTAGCGAAATTTTGAAATTACATGAATTATGAAGTGTCCAAGTGACTTGACAATAGTAAATAATTAAAATAAGTTCGAACAAATTCCAAATATTCAATTTAGCCTCTAAAAAATATTTTTTCGGGAGCGTGAGTGCCGCCACTTCGGGGTTATGGGTCCCGGAAGATGTTATGAAGCATCCCAAAAGAAGTTTTTGGTGTGCTTCGCTAATACCACGCACAATTCGAAAAAATTTTTGCTTCCCCCCCCCCCTCCTGAACGGTAGTTCTGGGTACGCCACGGCTGCATATTGACAACGAATGTAGATCTTTTGCAGGCAGTTGTACGGTGTGCAATTGCACCATTTCCGCGCAATCTCAAAACTAATCTTCTTCAGGGTAGTATATCTTGCTTTTTTTTCACTTTTTTCCAAGTTCTCAAAAGAAAAGCAACTTTCTGGGCTTATATTTATTTCATTCATTATTTGTCTTTCTTATAGTCTAATCAATTCAAACAAAAAACGTTGGCGCTGAGATTCTGACAGCTTGTACAAAAAACTCATAACTTATTTTTTAAAACTTTGGCAAAATCATCAAAGTCAAACCCTGTCTAAAAAAATATTATTGATTCATTGATTAAGTGTTCCTACCAGTTTCCCTGAATTTGGTCAGACAACTTTACGTCTTATTTGTATTTACCGTCTCCTGGTGATATCATAATGAGTCAAGCATGAAAGACAATACCTTACTTTTTAGGTGGAATTTGTGAACCATACTTTTTTTTAGATTTCCTAGATTTTTTTTTGGCTAAGCCTGCAAGATTGGAACATGTAAGGCTGTGGGTGTCCTTTTTCCCTAGCGGAAAAAAGCAAGAAGCATTGCTTTTTTCTTATCCTCAAAATTTGACAAAAAAAGCCTGAAATAAAGGTTACAATGCAATCAAGTTTCCTGTACACTATGGTTTCAAAAACGGTAATCCAACAGCTTTTTCTCTCTCGTCTTCCCTCCCCCCCCCCCCCCTCCCCAAATCAATAAACTACCATATCAGTAGGTAAAAATGTCTAACACACTAGTGAACCAGTAATCTCAAGGGTGCTAGTTGCAGGCGCGCTCGCTTCGGGACCCGCTCGGTTTCCCGCTATTTGTTGATTTTTGGATGCAGCTTACGATTTTTTATATATTATATTTTTGCACAGAGTCAGCCATTTCTTAGTTAACTGTCTAATCCGCGTGCTTTCGTTTTTTTTTTTTTATTTGAAAAAGGAAGTTTTTTCCTCGCAAAATCCCAGCTGTTCATTGAAAATTCGCACTAGTCACATGCATTCATTTCGTTAAACGAGATCTAGACGATGCATTTTTGAATATTTCATGGATTCATTGGGATAAAAAGCCCATTACATTCGCATATGCGCAGCGGCGGAAAAAAAATTGATGAAAAAATCCTTTGAACAGCAGGACTTGTGCTGTTATGAAGCTTTACACTCATGCACATGGTGTTAGAGGCTCTGCAGATGTTTCTGTGAAATTACGTGAAAAATCAAAAATTGTGTATTTGCACGTTAGCTTGTTAGTCCTACAAATCGCTACCGTAATGCAAGTTTCAGTGAAATTCAGTGTGACAAATGCAAACGAAACCGAATCCGTAAGCTGTAGGAATGTTGAAGGCATACTGTAGGTATACTGTAGGCATACTGTACGTAGGGTGCTTCGTCAGCGAATCACACTAAAGCTACGGATAATCAGTAGATATGTTGTAGAAATTTCCTTATCCACTCATCACTGTGGAAGAGGAGAGAAGGAAAAGTAGAAAATCAAGAATGGAAGGGTTTTATAGATAGGATACGGTAGCACTACTGTAGTCTACATTCAGCTACCCCTTTAAGCCAGCATCTTCTATACAACCCCCAAAATGTCTTAGTGTGAAGGTACACATGTGAACTCGTACATGGAATCGATCGGGACTTTCCCAAACCAGCTTTTCTAGAGCGGCTTTTCTTAGCGCTAATCTCCATGTACTTTATTGGCAAAGGCAAGAGCTTAGTCCTAGAAATGTTATTGAAAAGACAATATGGCAACGCTAAGATTAGTCTCCCCCTTTCCCCTTATTCTCAGAGAAAAAAACAAAGAAAAATTGTACAGACATTTGTAATCGTGCTTGTGATATTACCAATTTCTTAACCGGAGAATGTTTATTTGATCCAAAAAATATAATTTTTGTGCTCAAAATTTCGAGGAAACAGAAGAGGATCTAGCAACATATAGAAAATTTTCGAAAGACTTGGGGAGGAAAAGACAATTTTGATCTTTCATTAATGGTTATCTCGTGCCTTATTACGAAACAAAAAAGTTTACGAATAGCTGCAATTTGCAATGTGAAGTACTTGCACGTTTTTCTTCAACTTTTTCCTTTACTTTTTTCTCAATCAGAATACCCAACTCTAATCCCTGATGTAATCAAATCACTTCTTTCTATTTGACACTGAATGACGGCTAGGGTGCACTATGCTAAAAAGATTCACATTTGCACTAGCTTCATTCTACATGGATTAATGAGATCAAGGTGCGTGAGCTCGAGGAGTGCGAATATCAGCAGCAGAACGAACATATTTCAATTATTAGGCATATTGTTTAGGATTACGGTAGCAGGTGTTCTTGAACAGATAAAAAAATTACTTCCATTTCTTTGGTCAGGTTTGAAACTAGCTTCGCAAGAGATTATTCGGAGCAGGGATATGCAAGGGAGTGTTGAATGTTCCAAGACCTTCGAAGTTCACTCAAAAGAATTCTTGTAAGGAGTTTTTCGGAAATGTATAAAAAACCACGCCTTTTAGCTAAGACGCATTTGGAGGGGGGAGGGGGATTTCTTGTTTGAAAACACTTACTCTTTCCGTAAAGGCCTACAAATCAGTGGCGTTTGATTCAAGAAAACTTGCAGAGAAGCAACTATGGTGTATTTATATTGAGAGGGTATCAACTGCCCTACCCTTCTTTGAAATAAGCCCCTTATCTAACCCCTTATCCTACGTTACCCTACAAAAAAATTGATTTACTATTTGAAGACATTGATTTGCACTAGTAGTAATTGTGTAGCCCGCCTATTCTGTATGGATCCCTCGGGTTTGGTAAATGTATTGACAGTGGGTATTGAAAGCCACGCCCCTTTTTAATACAGACCTCCTCATTGCCCAACATTTAGTCAAGCTTCCAAAAAAGCAAAACCACTTTCAAGATGTCCTAAAGCCCCTAAAAAGCTCCCCGAAAATATTCTTAACTATTTTTCAGGCACCATCATCTTTGATTCGTTCGGCTGCCCTTCTTTAACCAAATTGAGATTTGAACAAGGGGCGCTTGAGAGACGCACGCTTCGTCATCAGGGCTTTTTGTGACGAGCCGTCACTTGCACGTATTCACATTCAGACAAGTGCCAGAGTCAATAGTATAATAGATTCGTTTAGCGAAACAAGACTACATATGAATGTAAACCTGAATCAGGGTATGGAACGGAAAGTAAACTAGATTTCAAGAGAGGTTTCGATGGCAATCACGAGAAAATCTGATCAAGAAGTGGATTAGAAAACAACTTGTATAGAATTTGTTTATTGGTCTCAAGGGGGGAAAAGAAAATGGACCCCTTTTTTCAGATTTTTTGTCCACTTACAACTAAATGAGAATAAACATAGAAATAATATGAAAATTCAATAAGTGATTCTTTCCTCTTTAATAAGCAAAAATTCGAGTTGGCGAATAAGTAGAAGTTTCAAGACATTCTTTCTACATTTTTTTCAGCTTAAGCTTGTGTTTTTTTTTGTTATTTTTACTCATTTCCAAATTTATAATAATTCATCAGTTCATGCCCATCCATTTTGGCCAGAAAATGGAGATTTGTGAATAGCTCGAAATAAATAAATTTTCAGAAGATATCCAAGACAAAAACAAACAAATGACTTCCTTATTTCTCTCCACAACAATCAAATTTGGAGCCGAACCACAAAAGAAGAAATAGGCTCATTACTCACTAGAACCCAATTTTCGTATTCCATTAGTTTTTAGGCTAACCAAATTTGAGTATGTCTTTGAAAAAAGTAAGTCATTACTCTGCATATTGGGTGAGTTTCCATGATTGAATGTGTAGATCTCGATCAATTTGAAAAAAAATAAAGTAAGAAAACGTTAGCGCTGACAGGTATTTACAAAATCTTATATGGTCGATAGCAAAGACATATTTTGCGCCACTTTTTGAAGAAATTTATTTTCGACCATCCTTTGCTTTCATTTCTGATAGAACAAAAGCTGCTACTTTCATAGTCGTATCAGTACATGGGTAGAAGTAGCGCTTCGAGCCCCTTTCCCCCCCCCCCCTCCCTCCCCTCCCCCGAGAATGAGTCGCGAAATTTTTAAAAGTTAATAACATGGGTTATAAGAATGCGCAATGGACCTGTTTATACTTAAAATGACTGAAGTAATTTTTAAGAATTTTGAAAAGTTTATATTGGCCTCGTCAAAATTTCCGAAAGCAAGGCTGCCGCCACGCTCCTTTTTTCTTATATTCCAGGGTCAGGGCCCAAATTCTGGGAAGCATCCCAAAAAATTGTTTGGAGTGCGGGCTAACGCCGAGCAGTTTTTTTTGTTCGACAAAATTCCCTCCCCTTCCCCCAACAGAAATCCTGGGAAAGGCCAGCCAGAGTAGAGGTTGAAATTTCGCACGAAAATTTTATGAGACGACAGGCTACGCCCTTTTTTACCTCCGAAACGCTCATTTTTGTGCAAATCTCAAGTGCACTTTTTCCAGACGATTTTTTGTCCATTACTGATACGAACATGATCTTCTCACAAATTTTCGCACGAATACTCGCAAATGAGTAATTTTTCAGGAGCGAAATTTTTATGAGCATCCGCCAGATCATGCCCACTTTGTGCGAGTTTTCCGGAGCGCACATTTGCAGAATCCTTCTGTATCCCTAGAGCACATTTACATTTACAAACGGAAAGCTTTGCAAACTTTTCGAAGGAGAATGCGTTTTTCACATAATTGTACCAAACATTATTGGAAAAAAACATTTGTATAGCTGGGCAATCCAAGCTTTCGCGCAAATTGCATGTTTCGCATGGCTTATCCTTGCGCGCGCTTTCACAGCCGCGCACAAAAAGCAGTCAACAGCTTAGGGGCACTTGTGTATAAAGCAGTGTGCCCACGATTAATAATGAAAAACAACGTGTGCCCACGATTAATGATGAACAAAATTGATTGCAGTCGCCAAAAGTGGACAAGAAATAGTTAGCTTAAATCGATGTGGAGGGGGGGGGCAGGGTGCTGGAAAACGATAAAACAAAAACCCTTCACAGCGCCTTTAAGCAGAAATGAAAAGATTGAGCGTAACAAAAAATGGGCGTGGCCCTTAGTGCCGTACTTACAACCTCTACTGCGTACCGAAGGCACAAAGAAATGCGTATCGTTTTCATAACTTCAGAAAAACAGGACTATAGCCATTTGTTCTTCCCTATAGTTAATAACAATATATCATTTGACGAAAGTGGAAGAGGGTAAATCAATTTATAATCCTTACCCGAAAAACTTGTCTAGAATGGGCGTATCTTTTGGTACTGCACAGAACGCACTGTGTCCAGAACATGAGGGAGAAATTTCCGTACTTCTTGTAGTTATAGTGAAACAGAAATTTTGATATGCTTACACTACCCACTTCATCTCCTATGACCAATTTAAAAAATTAAGGATGGGGGATGGGAAGGGGACTAGCAAAACGAATTGAAAAGGGGCATGGCTTTTATACTCCGAGGCCATACCAAAAAACGTTTTTGTTTTTTCTGTATCAAAAAAACTGTAAGCTTCAAATTATCTAATTGACATAAAATTTAGTGCTATTTTTATAAATTTGTGAGTTTTGATGGACAACTTTTTATTACAATTTTTTTATGACACTTGTCGTGATAAAGACACGACCCATGCTTAACTCTTTGTTGCACTTGTTTATATTTTGTGCACGTTATTCATTTCATGCACAAAGAGTCTGCCACATGGCTGACTCTTTGTGCTCATCGGCCAGCCTCCTCTGGCCGATTCCCCATCACTCTTCACTGTGTCGTGTGCCGGAACAAGCCGGCTGTATTTGTGCTCTAATAAACATTCTTACTCCCCAAGTGTTGGCTGAGTCGTCGAAGAGTCCCCCAAAAACCCACTGAACCACCACAATTTTGGTGCATCGGCCGGGAAGCAAAAAACCCGCCGAATCTTTTCTAACAGGTCAAATCCTGTACATCTTGTCAAAGCAAGATGGAATTGGTGCTGCTGAAAAATCCGCTCACCATTAGCGCCAAGACGCTAAAAACACTTATAAACACATTCAAGGACTACACAAAAAAACCAGTGTATCCCCCCGATGACGAAAAAGCCTACGACGAAAGTCAGGCAGCCGCTGATCTAATAAACGAAGCAATATACCAGGTAACTGTTGCAATAGATGAGCTAAAAAAGCTCGTCGCTCAAATCAAAAAAGAATATGAGAGGATTCAAGATACGGGCGAAAGAGAAGACTTCTCCGACGCTTTAGAGAAGCTTGAAGATGACACAAACTTCAATGAAATTTTGGGAGCAGGAACTGAAATAATTTTTATGCTCAGAGCAAGGCTTACGGAAGTCATTAGCACCCGCAATAGACTGGGACGCAAACTAGGACTTACTGTACCTACGCAACCAAATCCAACAGCAGTCACAAATGGAAATTTTATTCAAAATAACGATAATGAACAGCAGGAAATCAGCGAAGATAACGGATGGGTGTCGTGATAAAGACACGACCCATGCTTAACTCTTTGTTGCACTTGTTTATATTTTGTGCACGTTATTCATTTCATGCACAAAGAGTCTGCCACATGGCTGACTCTTTGTGCTCATCGGCCAGCCTCCTCTGGCCGATTCCCCATCACTCTTCACTGTGTCGTGTGCCGGAACAAGCCGGCTGTATTTGTGCTCTAATAAACATTCTTACTCCCCAAGTGTTGGCTGAGTCGTCGAAGAGTCCCCCAAAAACCCACTGAACCACCACAACACTAAAATATGAAATTTATGATTTCAAGTCGCTCAATATAGGCTCGGGGAACAAGAAGGAGAGTAATAAGTAAACGGCTATTGACGTACACTTTGACTGTACTCATCAACTTCAAGAATGTCAAAGAAGTCGTACTAGAATGCAGTCAAATATTTTTTGTGAGGGGGAGGGGGGAGAGAAGTGATGAAGATCCCTATGACATCATTGCGACTCGCATGTACTGACCGGTAAATTTCAAAAAAATGAACATACCACCAGATCTGCTACTGCCAACGAGAATATCAGATAATATTGTGGACGTCCTCGTAAATCGCGTTCCCATGCGATAGCAACGAGAACGAATAAATTACCGATAACACAGAATAGTATGAGCAGCAGTAGAATACCGGCTAGTGTCACCGATTCCATAAATGGTCCCAACGATTCGTCGGCTATAGTCGGCGAAATGGCGCCATTTACCGCCGCTCCGGCGGCGGCAGCGGCGGCGGCGGCGGTCTGATGTTCATGCCAATTGTTGGCGACAACGGTGGATGATGCGTTACGTTCGTTCAGCATACCGTACCACACGTCATCTGTAAGGATACTGTACTTGAACCTCGGTAACGTAGAAGGCATAGCTATCGATCCACGCGAAAAAGCAAAAGCGGTAAAATAGAGTGAAGCAAAGCAAATGGGATTAAAGGATTTGAGAGGCACACTGGAATGAGTGGAATGAACGGTCAAAGAACTTCGGCTCGGACAAATCCGAGAGAGTAGAGTGGTTTCTTCGTGTGCTGCTACTCAAAGCAGCCCCCTCTCTTGGCTCTCGAGACTAATTTGACAGCAAATGCACGAATGAGATTGATTTCGGGAGTGTTCTATAGTCCGCATCTACCAAGTTTGGAAGATGGAGGTCTATAAATAGCACTCTGAACATTTTGGCTTCACAAATTTCATTCTAAAATTTAATTTTCTGCTTTAGAATTCATTTTTATAAATCTGACAGATAAGGAGTGTATTAGCGGAGTTTACACAAGAGTGGGCAAAGTTCATTGTGTAATCTACACTTTTGTACACTGAACCTTGCGATCTTGACGGAAACGAGTAGGCGGAGTTTGCCATAAGGGGCGGGAAATACACTAAGGGGGCGTGGTTTGCCTGCAAAGGATAGAAGACTGCATCTTGTACTAGTTGGTACCTTGCAAGTGAGGGTCTGGACGGAGCTTGTATATATGTATGTGGGCGGAACACCTATGAAGGGGTAGGTGCTAGCCGCAAAGATAAGTATAGTTGAACACTGCACTTTTCGCTTACGGTAAGTTAGTGTATGAGAAGGGTTTGCCCATAAGTGGGTGGGACATAGAATGGGGCGGAGCTTGTCTGAAACAGGTAAGAAATTGCACTCCTGCAAAAATTGAACTGGGAGTAAAATAATCGTTGGAATGAGCTTATCCAAAAGTGGGCGGGATGTAGACCTAGGGGCGGAGCTTGCCTGCAAAGAAGAATGGTAGAAAATGCTAGAGATTAGCTAAAACCTCCAAGCTTTCTCAATTATTTAAGGGCTGCGACCCTCTCAGCGGGAACAAAATGTAGCGATATCAAATTTCTAGACATGTTTCTTTCTTCTCGTGCTAAAGGAAGTCTTTTTCGAAAAATTCCCACAATCCTCTTAAGACATGGATTGAATTTCGCGAGGAAAAGAACAGATGCAGATGGAGGAGTGCATCAAAAATTGCGAAAAAAGAAACGAGGACATATGACTTTTTTGCAAGATTATAAAATTATTGGCCAAAATAAACAAAAACCAAGGATAAAATTACATGTAGACGTGAATATAAAATGCAGATCATTATACTTCTAGCGAATATGAACCAGGTCTCGGAAGTGGACAAATATTCTCACAAGGAACTGACCCGCCCCGAAGCTAGCTTATTCTGGCCCTTCATAGTTTTTCTTCCTTTCTGTCCTCCTCCAACTCCTTTTTGGGTTTTTATTATGTAAACAAACGATAACGCATGTCTGAGTATTCTGAGTAATTGTATAGTGTAAAATGATACTCGATTAGTAAAAATAGCTAAGCGCTGTAGCGGATTCAATCTCAATTTTTTTTCTAGAACTACTAGAAAGCACATTTTTGCAAGGTTTCGCGCATATCTTTGATAAAATTGTACTTTTCGTGAAAAACAAATACTTCAGAATTCTTTGACGGTCCTATTACTAAGGAAAGTGGTGCCCAATTCAATCTTCATAACTGGGAGTAGGAGGAAGGGTGGAGTGGGAGGACAAAATAAACGCTCTAGATTCTTCATTGATTATCAGGCAAAAAATGAAAGTGTGGGATTAGACTAATGGATGCGAAGGAAGTGGATTGTAATGAAGATGAATGAATGAATGAATGAATGAATGGGTGAATGGAATGAATGAATGGAATAAATGAATGGAATGAATGAATGAATGAATGAATGAATGAATATGAATGAATGAATGAATGAATGAATGAATGAATGAATGAATTGGAATGAATGAATGAATGATTGAATTGGAATGAATGAATTGGAATGAATGAATGAATGAATGAATGAATGAATGAATGAATGAATGAATGAATGAATGAATGAATGAATGAATGAATGAATGAATGAATGAATGAATGGATGGATGAATGAATGAATGAATTGGAATGAATGAATGAATGAATGAATGAATGAATGAATGAATGAATGAATGAATGAATGAATGAATGAATGAATGAGTGGAATGAATGAATGAATGAATGAATGAATGAATGAATGAATGAATGAATGAATGAATGAATGAATGATGAATGAATGAATAAATCAGTCAATCAATCAATTAATCAATCAATCAATCAATCAACGGATGAAGATAGATGAAGGATTATGAAAAAAGAAGACATTTCGTTTTATAGACAATTAGTTCTTAACGTCCATATCTCGGAGTATAAAAAATATTTGAAGGAACGTTGCGGAATCTTGATGAGTTTAAAGAATAACAGAAGATTTAAAACAATTAAATCGACTTCATATGTTTAAGGTTGAAAGGTAAAAATTCCTGAAAATTCAAAGCGTTCATTCATTTTGAGAAAAAGCTAGCTTCTCTGGAAAAAGAAGTGTCAATCGACCATAATGGAGATAAATTGGCCGTTAATAAAAGTTTTTATGTGGGAGTACACAGATGAGGGGGATAAATAGCTGGGGGGAAGATTTTACCCCGTCATTAGAACAAAAGGGCAGACACTCGATAAAGTGTGTTGAATAATTTAAGGAGGCGATGAAAGGTTCAGAGTAAGGGCAAATCTTCCCATGTGTGTGCTGCCCGTTAACCATGTGACGGGTAGCAGAGTTCCGGTTAATCAACATCTCTACGTCTCTTTTTATACCCGACATGGCCCTTTTCAGCCACTTATGACGAACAGGACGAGTTTAAACGCATAAGTGCAATGCGCTACATCTAGCCCCTTATTATATGGCTATTATCCTGATAAAGCTAATGTGTATCGTCTGTGTATGGATAGTGAGAGCGAAGCAATGAAAATGCGCGCCCTTACTGCTGCCCGTAGAATGTCCTAATAGATTAGGGCTATAGTGCAGGAGTTTAACTGACGTAAAACGGACCTTCAATTCGGCGAATTGAATCCGTATTTAGACATTTGTTCTATCCTCCTTTGCGACTGCAGTAGGAGGCCCGGGGAGGTGGAGGGAGGGCGGGGGGGGGGGGAGGGAGGTGCAGAAAACTTCTAGAGACGGATTCTCTTGAATAGTTGCTCAGTCTTCGGGGAAAAAAATTAAATTTTAACTACTAGAAAAAAGCCATTAAATTTGTTTATATGCGCGCCCATATCCGCCTCAGACACGTACTATGGATGTCTAGCTATGTTTGCCGGATCTCACAGATTAACATCAAAAACCATCCTAGATGAGAAAAGTGGGCGTGTCGGCTCCCAGCCCGCCCACTCCCTCCCCCCGCTCCCTCGTTGACCTGTTCATTTATGAAAGACGAGCACGAGCTCTACGAGCAATCCACAACAGAACATGGGTAACGAACAACTTTCCTGGAATTAAAAGGAAATTAAGACCAAAATAAGGTAAAAAGTGGGTGTGTCAGCTCCCTCCCCGCCCCCTGTCTTCCCCTTCCAGCCTTCATAAACTATCCTTTGCCATCTGTGATTTCCCAACTGTATACAATAAGAAGCACGGATAACACTCATATTCACTAGAAAAAATTCAACACAGCAATTCAAATGACATAATTTGAGAGATTCTTTAAAGAAAATTTTTAATTTTTCAAGAAATGGATAGTTTAATTTTCAGTTACTCAAGAAAATCAAATTCACAAAAAAATGCTTTTTTTCAACAAATTTTTGATTACGAAAATCACTTTGTACAGTAATTTTAAGATCCTCAGGAGTTTCTAGTTTTTGCCAAAAGAAGAAAATTGTAGCAAAGTTTGTTTGAGTTCTTACATCTGAGAGTGCATAAATTCATCCTCTCCTCTCCTCCTCCTCTTCCCCCCCCCCCCCCCTCCCGTCACTTCCTTCCCCTTCATCCGGGGATATTCAGCCATGCTCACAAATTGTTTTTTTCGTCTGACTCAGCGAGTCCACAAAGAAAACAAGATTTCAAAGCACAAAATCTGGCTGAGACGAAAATTCGATGGAAAACTCCTTTTCTTGGGGGAGGGGGGATACAAAAGCACATGAATGAACCACAAATTATAAGTGCTATGCTATATGGTAATGTGACGCTACATAGTCGAGCGTATTGCACTAGCAGAATACAATTAGTGAAACGCAAAGAGCAGAGGGGATAGAGAAGGGGATAGGGGCCGGGGAGGGGGAGGGGGGATCGAGTAAGAAAGTGTGTACTAGCTGAATGAACGGATAGCTCCATAGCTCTTAAGAACTAGGCAGTAGGCTAGGGTGTTCGGCGCAATCTCGACACTACCCCTCCTCCCCCCCCCCCCCCCCCCCGCCCTCCTCTCTCCTACACACTGAGGATTATGGAGAGCGCATCACATCATCCGGCGCTCTCGCGTAAAGAGTAAAAGTAATCCAATGAATGAGTATTAGCCATCGTCGTGTAGATAACAGGGGCGGAGGGGGAGCCGGGGGGAGGGGGGGGGGAGAGAAGTGCCGGGTTGTATAGTAAAAAGGCTTCTACTACTAAGAAGTGCATGTTGGGAGAGCAGAAAGGAGAAGTGAACGGAGGGCGCGTAAGCTCGTTGACTGCCGTGTGTGTGCCCCTATGCCCCCCGGCGGCGGCTTCTCTTTATCCTCTTCGCACTATCATAGCGATGTGGGAAACACACGAAAAGCTCAACGCAGAAGGGGCCTGGGGGGACTAAGAATAATTTGCTTTTGACGCGGCGCGGTCTTTTGGTACCGCTTGCGAAGCAGGTGGCATGCCATATATGGGTGGTGTGTGTAATGTAAATAAACGCCCCTAGCGTAACATGTAAACTGATATGGATTAGTGCCACCTTGGTGTCACACCCCTTGCGCAAAGACGAAGACGAGAACGTAGGGCTTGAGTGTACATAGCTCAATGTGTACACAGAATTTGAAAAAAAAAATACACAATATTGAAAATCAAGAATTTCATAGCTACCCCCCCCCC